TGATACATATTTATAATTTTAGGTACTAAATTATATATTCTCTCACATGGAACAAGGAGAATAAAAGAATGATATCAGTGCCCTGGTATGGTTTCTAGAAAACTCCAAATTGAGCAATATTTCCCAATGGTGTACCACAGTCAACAAAACTTTTAAAAAATGAAAAGTTCCAGAATCATGACATAGTTCTGAAAGTAAAATAATTCTAAGTATTATATTTAAGTGTAAATTTTAATAAGCCTCTACCTACTATTGAAAATGTACCAAATTTCTCATGTCAAATTACATTCCAGAGTTTTTACCTAAATTGCTACTGAAAAAAAGAAGAAAAATTTTTAAATTATCTTTACATTTTTATTTTCATGATTAGGTCACCAAAAATAACATAAAATTCCTTTAATAATGTTATTATATTCTCTTATAATAATATTACATGGGTGAAAATATTATATTACACCTGAATTTCTAGGTTTATAAGAAAAAAGAAATTGGCACCTCTTAAGAAAAACATACTCAGCCACAAAGAAGGATAAATTTGAGACTTTTATAGGTAAATGGATGCAATTTGAGACCATGCTCATAAGTGAAATAAATCAGACTAGCATATGTAGACATGATATTGTCTCCTGGTGTGAGAAACTGAAAGAATAAATAAGTTCTAAAATGTACAATAGATACTGTGAAATGGGAAGAAATTGTTCAAAAGGAAGAAAGGAACTAGGATAGGTGAAAGGGGAAAGGATGGAAGGTAAAAGGGAAAAATGCAGGTCAGTGATACTATTAGTGCTTCTTAGTTCATTTAAAAGGAAGGTTTGAAATTTTTATGCGCATATCTTGTACCCTGAGCAACTACTTTAAAGATAACAACATGTAATGTATGAAGTATTGCTATCCTGCTCTTATTTTGTTATGACATTTTGTTTTACCTTCTTTCATAAAATAAAAAAAGCAAAAACAATTACAAATTGATAACTTTCATATCAATGACAGTTATATTTAAATTATTTGAAGGGCTGGGGATATAGCTCAGTGGCACAAGCTCCTGCCTGGCAAGTGCAAGGTCCTGAGCTTGATTTCTGCTGCCAAAAAAAAAAAAAATTCAATAAATTATTTGAAAAGGGATAATAACAGTATTGCCATCATTTTTTCATTCATTTTTTATTTATATATATATATATATAAGAATTAAAAATTTTTGACAAGAATAATAACGAAAGATTCTCAACTTGGGCTCTTTCAGGCACATAGGAGAGAAAAAAAGAAGTGTCACAACAAAATTTGCTTTGGTTTTATCTGATCTTACAAACTGTCCTTAAAATGAAATTATTCAGAAAAAGCAACCCATACAGCTATCCTATAAATTAAAATGCAAACTTCACTTTAACACGAATAAATTGTGCCCATAATTTCAGAGACTATTTTAGGAAATGCGGTCATTATATGTGTTTCTTCGTATGATGAATTTTGAATTTGGGATAAATTTCATCTCATAATTAGAATAGAATACCAAGACTGAAATATAATGCAGTGTAATAGTGGGCGATTCACCATTCTTTCACAAATATCTAATTCAATGCTTCTAATTATCAGTTTTCTCCACAAAGGAACTATTTCTTAACATAAAGTAAATGCACAGTCTTCATCAAGAGTCTGCATGATTTTCTAGGTATTCTTTTCATATTATCATCGTTTAATTTTCATCTCTATTTGACAAGGCCTGCTACAATTAGTGAAATACAATGGGGGAAAGTGTAAAATTATTGCGTTTATTTTGCTATCACATAAAACTTTACACCGTGGCATTCATAAAATAAAACTGACTAAAGCTTTATATCTCTGCAAAAACACTTAAAAAACAATCTCTAAAAATGCCAATTTAAAAATCTGCTCAGGAACCTTGCACTGTAAAAGGTGCCTTTTTTGTTAATTCATTACTTATCGATGAAAGAAGTGTTTGCCTAGTTTTGTCATGAGAGGTGTAATAATTTCTGGTTTTTAAATAGGCTTCATACTAAATATAATCTACTAGTTTTATCCACTTGTAGTTCACAATAAAACTAACTCTCCACCTTTTCTACTTGCTAGACAAAATGGATTAGAAAGCAATTTTCACGTTCATTTTACCAGAAGCTAGAGTACAAACTGCACATTCAGCCACACAGCTTTCTAGAGCTTTAACTGTGCATATTTAACTGTGCCAGGGATTTTGGAAACATTAAACCAATGTATTAATGACATTCCCTAAATCATATTTCTTTTTTTCTAAGGCCAACCCAGAAATTTTATTGCCCTAGATCAGGAAATGATAATTATTTAGCTTGAAATCAAAGCTTTGTGGGGAGTAAGTAGATTTACTAAATTCTTTGAGGACCTATTTGACATTTCAAGCTCTAAGCCTGGAGAACTCACTCTTTGGATTCTGCTCAGGGTGATCTTACAACTTCTATAGTCCATGAGGTCGCTGCTGCAGATAAAATGGCTTAGTACAAAGAGCAAAGAAACCACCCCTCTGTTTCTGGGAGCTAAGGATGGTAGACTGCATGAAACAATCTGACAGTACATCTCAATTCCCCATTCTTTCAGTCTTCTTAGCAGCTGAGTACAGGGAATCTCAAAAAAAGGGCAACCTCAAATTTCCTATGTTACACGGCATGCAGCCTTCCAGAACCACCCCACACCCACCTCATGAGGTCATACCTACCCGCCTTGAGCTATCGCTTTCCTAGGCTCCTCTTGGTCTACTATGGCCTGGATAGGAACCATGAGCTCTCACAGCACCACACTCCTCCCTCTCATGGGAAACCAGCAAAGCAGCTGAGTCGAGAGCCAGCTGCAAGGTGTCTCCATGACAGAGGCTCAGTTCGGGGGTCTCATCTGGCATAGAAATAAAGTAGAGATTCTATAGCATCAACCTAAATTGAAAGCAAGTGGATCTTGCCAAGATAAAAGGTGCTCACATCTGCTGACAAGGCCAATAGACAGAGGATGTTGCCTATACCCCCACAATGGAGGATGTCAGGTCTTCCCGCACGCTAAGACTGGGAAGACGCTCAAGACACCAACTGGACAGAAGGTTGAGAAACCTGGGGGACTAAACCTGTTTTCCACACAGACAACATTACCTAAAAGGATGGCTTTAATTATTGGATTGAACTGAATTTTAAAATGCATAGGACTCTAAATTTATAAGAGAACCAGAATAGCTATAGAAAAAATAATGGAGTGTTTTCCAGGCACATCTAAGTCATTGTGCGAGTGAAGTCAATGTTACATAACCAACACAAAGAAGAAAGTTTCTCCAATAAAATGAATACCCCTCCCAATGCATATTCTGACACACATACAAGACCATAATACAGTATTTGATGAGGCAAATGTGTAAGTTTTTTTGACCCTACACTGGGTAGCTGTGTGATTTTTTTTCCTTTTGTATTTGATATTTTTCCAAGTTAAATGAAGAAAGAAAAATTCAATTAGTAAACTATTAAAGTTAGCTAGATTTTAATTAATTGAGGGTTTAATATCTATATGGATATTGGTATTGATATCTATGTAGATATATGAATTAGGCTAAAATGTTTTCACTAAGTAATTATTTTTATTTATAATGTGTTCCTAGAACATGTACTTTTCAAAAACTTTCCCTCATACCATTAGAAACCTTTCTTTTTCTGGACTAATTTCGAATGTTTCAAACATGAATGAGAAATACAGTGAATTGTTTTAAAATTTTGTGTTAATGACCACCAAAAACAGTACCTACTTTTTACTTGAACTCCCACAAAGCTCCCACAAAACAGAGTTAAATGTGAACATTAGCTGATAAAAGGTCTACCTTAGAATTTTCTAATATTTATCTCTTTGCTCCATCTGATTCACCTGTATTTTAGTTCATGTTTAATTAGTTCATGCTAATTATTTCAATATTTTTAGCTGTTTTATGTTCTTTATGGACATTAATGAAAACAAAAGGATGATGAAGGAAGGGGAAAAAAGAAAGACAGGAAAGGAAAAGATTCTTGCAGGCAAGAATGGTGGCTCATTGCTGAGCCGCACTTTATAAACAAGAGGGAATCAGTTGGAGCCTGATGGTTGGATGTTGGTTGGATGATTCTCACACACCAGAGAGAAGAAGTAAGACAGACCCAGCCTGCAGGTTACAGAAGGGAGAAAAGTGACAATGGGGTAAGTCTGATAACTTTTTAGATGAACAACAGAAAAGATCTGAATGTTCAGTGGTCCAGGTTTGCAATGATCGTGATAGAAGCAGAATGTCAAAGATGTGGATGGTTTGACCCTGGCTTGTTTTAGCAAAGGTATGAAGATAAATTAGAGGGAGTGGAGCTGAAAGGGTTAGACATAGTTCTAGCCAATATACAGAAGGTTCTTAACTTTATAAGTACCTATCCAAAAAGAAAAAAGAAATACATTCTCTGGGGCTGGGGATTTAGCTCAGCGGCAACACACCTGCCTGGCAAGCATAAGGTCGTGAGTTCGATTCCTGGCACCAGAAGAAAAACAAAAAAAAACAAACAAACAAAAAAAAAGAAATACATTCTCAAGGTATAGGTTGGAAGATGCAACTTCCCATATGACATGGTTTCTATCTAGATGTCCCCTCAGAGCCTCATGCAGTCATGGGGTGGGCTTCTAGAGTTTTTGACTGATCCATGGTCCAATGCTGGGATTATGGGTGTGAGCACTACACTCATGCAGGGGCAGGTAGCCTGCATATAATATTAGGGAGGAAAAGAGGCTTGTGGGCTGCTCTTCCCTTTTTGCTCTTGCTGCTTTTGGTGTTTTCCACCACCATGAGCTATTGCCTTCTACCACATGCCATGCTGCCTTGGAGCCAGACAAGTATGGACCAAAACCTCCACAAACTGTAAGCTGAATAAACCTTTCCCTCTTCAATTCGGGCATGGGTATTTTGTCTCAGCAATGAGAGAAAAGTAACCAAGACACCATATCATTTTATATTTTCCCTATTGTTAATTAATATTAACGATTATCAATAATCACATTCTTGACAGCTAGCAAGTCACTTGATCATTTCAAATTGTCCATCAACTTTTATTTTTGAAGATGCTGATATACTCAAGAACCTTAAAATGACTACTCTCTTTATGTAATTTAAAACAGCAACAGTAATGCCTGGCATTTGGAGAAGTTTCAACATGGTTTTACAAATATCCTAGTTGATCCTTGCAAAAAAACAAGATTTCTGAGAGGTTAAACAAATTGACTGGAATTATACATCTAGTAAGCGGCAATGTCAGAGCTTGAACACAGCTTGGCCAATTTCTTTTCACAGCTCCAATTGGTTTCAATTGATTGATTAATTGAGAGTGATTAATTACAAGCAGCTGGAGCCTGTGTCACTGAGGGTCTATTCTTCATTACGCTCTCATGTAGATTCACTGATATGTTATATTGCTGCCATCCCATTTTCTACTTTAACCAAAGAGATTGTAAGAGAGAGAAATTATGGAAAAGGAGGAGACAGATCTGTTCCACACAGGGGATGCGTGTTTCAAAACTGGACAGATGAAATTTAAGCACATACTTGCTGAACCTTCCTGGGTGGAATAAAGTCTTTAGTAGCCGCCATGTGTCCATAAGCCATGGACGAGAAAGCAGGGAGCAGTGGGGTTCTCTGCTGGCCATTGTCTTGTCACTCCAGGAGGCTCTAGAAGGCAGAGGGAAAAGAAAAAAGTCAAGTTTTAGTGACACAATAGAGTTGCTTACACTTTGCCATCTGTTGGGTAAGAGGCCCTTCCATGTCCATTGGGCCAATTTGAATTGAGTGTTATGCTGTTGCAATCAAAATATTTGAATAGATCTGCACAAGAGGAGTGGAGGTAGGGAGGAAAGCAGTTGGCCATTTCCTGGCTTCATCTGAGGAGTAAGTCATGAAAACAATATCTATCAACATTTAATTCCTTTAAAGTTTAAATGTGCATGACAACTATTTACATCACACCAATATGACTGGCAAGAGGTGGACACTGGTGTCTCCATCATGCAGGGGGGACCCGCAAGAGGCCTCAGGAAAGGTTGAAGGGTGAAACAGAGCAGGCTTCTTTACTCTGCAGAGCTTAGAAGTCAGCAGATACCTCATCTGGCTGACAGGTGCCAGAAACAGAAAAACGCTGGGCAAATGAGACGAGGAGGGAGTATACAAGTGGAACATCTTTCATCCGATCTTCTCTGCTCAAGAGGGAAAAGGGAAGTTTCCACCCACATACTGGGCATGCTGTTTCTATTTCATAGACTGTAACCCATCCCAGGCCCCTTTCTCCACTGAAAGGCAAAGCACAAGGCAGAGTGACCCACAGAGCGGTTCTGGAAGACAGCCAGTTTCAGCATTGATGTGGTCCTCTTCACTCCTCAGGGCTGGACGCACGTAGAGGCTTAGTGACAGCAAGCATTGCAGCAGCTGGCGTGCAGGGCACCAAAGCAGAGCCGCTGTACTTCAGGTGGGCAGGAGAGATGCTCGGGGATAGGCTGAAGTGTCGTTTCAAGCACTGCCGCATTGTTTGGGAATGTGAGAAACCACAGGAGTAAACAGGCCAAGCTGGCGTGCAACAGGCAAAAATGAGACAGGACTGTTTCACTCTGACCCAAGCGGGAAACGGGATCAAAGATCCAGAGCAGTTGGGGTAGAGCTCCAGTTCTACGAGATTGGTTGGCTCTGTTACCAACTGCTTCCTGTGAGCCTACTGTGTGTCACACACTCTTTGATACAAGAATCTGAATTGTTTTCTCTGTCACATACAAAGCTGGAGCCACCAAGCTCAGATGTGTAAATATCTACACATAACTTTACTTTCTCCTGTAACTTCTTTTTTTATTTGAAATCCAAGCTCATATTGTTGCAGAAATAAGATCTTTGACCACTCCTGTCCTCCACTTGTCTCTATCTTCTAGGGGCTTAAAATGCAGGGGACTCTGGGGGGAAAATTGGGTAAGGAATCCAGTCATTACTGTCGGTCATCATTCCATCCTCGCTCCGGGGACTTCCCCTCCTTTGGCACTGGTCTCCATCCATGCTTCCAGGCAAGTAGGGCTCATCCAGGACCTGCACACTCATAGTTCTTCTCTGCTCCTTCACCATACCAGGCATTGTTTGGACTCCTTCTCTGGTACCCACCAGAATGTAAACTCTTAACTATCTTATTCCACTACAAAACCCATGCCTTTTTTGGGGGGGGGGAACTTTTCCATGAAGAGATAACACATAAGCTAGATCTTGAAAATGGGGTGGTGTCTACAAAGTGAAGAATGTAAGAGAGGGTTAGGATTGAAGCAAGACTTTACTTGCAGAGGAAAGTAACACAGCACTCTTCACAGATCAGGAAATTGTATAAGGCTCATTACCCAAATGGAATGAGAAACTGGCATTATATTTTATGTTGTTACATGTCTCTTTCAAATGTGCGTCCCTTCTCTCACTTTAAAGGCTAAAAAGAAACAGAAAGTTTTATTTAAGAAAAATATAACCTGTAGTAAAGCTCCAAAGCAGAAGTTTCTCTGCAGCAAGTTCTTATTTGAATGGAGACTCCCCAGTAGAATAATTAAGTAGTGGAACAGTTCACTGTGTATGCAAAGAGATCCCTAAGAACCCTACCACCTCTGAACTTACAGCTCCAAGTCACATGACAAATTTGATCAAGTGTTTTGTCAAAGCAACCTAGAGACACATTAAGCAAAAGCACTTCTTTTTAAATTCCCCATCAACATTGAATTTCCTAGAAACACTTTGGCAAATTCAACCAGCACACGTGTGTCCTCTCTCCTTCCCTGCAAGTTGTGAGTGTGAGTGTGTACAGTGGAGAGGAGAACCCCGGGAGCACACATCCTTCTTCCCCACTTACCCTCTCAGGATCCTGGATTTAGGCATGGTCAATGAATCTGACAGGGAGTGCTACTGAAGTCTCAACTCCAAATAAATAGTTTAAAATAAAAAGTTGTATAAATATCAGTCTGTGCCAGTGATGCGGTTGCAGAGGGAGTGCTATAAACACAAAGTAAATTAAATGGGATCTACTTTTGTGGGGTAAAAGGCTACTTAGACTGGTTATTATAGAGAGAATTTTGTTGTGTGGTGCGACAGCACGTACCCATGTGGCTAACCTACAACTGGTAGGAGAAACAAATCCCACCCATACCTAGGAGCGGTGCCACAGCCAGACCACAATTCCTGTGAGGGATGAACTTAATTTGCTGAAAATGAAGGCCAGCCTCTGTTGCAGCTCATTAGCTGGTTACAGACATGCTGCGAGAGAAGAAAGTGGAATTTAGTCGATGTTCCAACTTCTACATGTGCTGTGAATAAAACAGACTATTGTTTTTTTTTGATAAAGAAGTATTGTTTTGAATGTGCAGATTGGCTAAGGAGAGCCAGCAGGATTTTTTGGCCAAATATAGTCTCTTGCTCACTCCTAAAAATCCTAGCTTTCAAATTAGGAGCTGAAGTCATTGAAGAAAAAAAAAAAAGTTTACATTCCTGCAGCCTGCTGCAGCAAAGCCAAACAAATGTTTGGCTTAAAGCTCACTTACATCTCTTTCATGAGCCTTTTCTTTAACATGGAAGTCTGAAAAATGACATTTCTTTTATTGAGTTATTTAACGCCAAGTGCGGTGTGTGTGTGTGTGTGCGCGCGCGCGTGTTTATGTGAGGACATGCACACTCAGCAACAGTACTATAGGGTCAGTGTAGTAGTTTTGAAGCATGTGGGTCATATTTGAATTTAAAGAAACCATGCTTTTACAGCTTCTGGCATAATTTAGGTCACAGTCACAAACTGTGATTTTTTTTTAAGCATCATTAACCGCTGAATGGACAAGGAATGTGTTATTTTCAAGGAGTTGCTTTGGTGCCAGTTCAGGCAATAAAAACCGAAGGACAGAGTTAGACTGGGAAGGTAATTTAGTATGCAGTGTCCTCCCAATGCACTTTTTTACCTTAAAAAATGCATGCTTCTTGGCGTCAAGTGTCCAACCCAAACTGGCTAATATGGAATGGCAGCATGGATTTGCTGGTATTAGGTATTGAATGGCTTATTGCTGGACAGTCCATTGAACCAGTGATTTGGCATTTTAACGGGTGCTTAGAAATGACCAAATTGCAGAATTTGATATGCAGTGGTCTAGTACTTTCTAGAATCTCAGGTAGAGTCTCCCTGCAATATTCCCAAGAGATCACCCACCTTTTGCTATAATATAGGTGACTTTTGTTGCGCTAGTGGCGGTCATACTAAACAAATCCCAGACGATGAGCAGAAAATGAAAAGGGTTAAATTAGCCTCTATGTAATGTGTTGGCTACTAGCAGTCTGTGCCCAAGCCTGAGAAAAAGGAAATAGAGAAAGCTGCGTGTGCATCACTCCCGTCTCCCCCTTAGCGTTCCCAGGGCTCTGCGAGCTGGTAGGGTTATTTCTTTGCAGGAGCAATTTGCTGTTTCTTAAATGCACTGGACTCATGTGTTTGAGAAGTGAGCAGAGTATGGATGCCTGCATGGCCAAACTATTGCATGACGGGCAGCGGAGGCCTCCTTAGATCAACCCTAGTTTCCGTCTCACTTGCAGCACTAAACAAATGAATAATTACTTTCACCGCAGAGGGCCTTTCTCCCTTGGAAGGAAAAAAATGAAGCATTTACTTCATGCTAATTTGCATGCTAATTTTCTCAATATAGCAACAGCAAACCCTGATCTGGGGGTCACATTTATGGATTCCCTGTCTTCTCTGTCTTCGGGCACTATTTTTTGTGGTAGCAGTAGCTTTACATGCAGTGTTGTGAGTATGGTAGTGAACATGTTGGCATCAAAGAAAAACAGGAGAAATGTGTTTATCATAGATTTTCCCAGGTAGCCTATATGTCAATTCTTGTGCTTTTGACGAGTGATTTAATAGGCCACCATCTACCAAAGAATATCTTTGATTTACATCAAAACATCTGAGAGTTAAGTCTAGAAAGAACATAAGAGGCAGGAAGAAGGTCACCTTTTACAGGAGCAGATAAAGATGACCTTCCGTTCTAAATGCCACCTCACTCATGGATATATCCTGGACATACATTTTCCTAATACCTCTTAATTCCATCCATAAACTAGGGAAGTGTTTTAATTTTAACCACATTTGTTAAATAGTTGTTCAGATGTTTTATAATTGCCCTTACCTGTATCAGGACAGGTTTTAGAAGAAAATTTTAAATTTTCTGTCTTATGTCACCATTGTTAATATCCGCTATTGTCTGATCTGTGTTCTGTTGGCCCTTCTAATAGATTTCTCTTTCAGCTTCCTTTTCTCAGTTACGGCTTTTCTACCACTGTGCCTGTGTCTCATAGCATTTCTCTGAGGCAGGAAAAGAGATGTGAGGTTATTTAAAAAAAGATCTTATGCTGACAACAATTTATGCTAAGTGATAGTCAGTATGACTCTGGATAAAGAATACTATATCAATTCCCTAGAAGTTTCACAACTACATTTTCTGCCAAGGAGTTTAAATTGTCCAAACATCAGTACTGAGGTAAGTAGGGAGCCACTGGAATGCATAAGTCCCGACCACCTCGAGGCTACCTCAAAAAGTCTAGGAATATGTTTTGCAGTGGAAATTCAAGTTGACCACCAAATGAACGTACCCTTGAAGAACATTTAAATTTTGAGGCTAATTTATATCTTAAGC